TGGAGTTTACGTTGAGAAATAAAGTTTATATTTTTAATTTTTATCATTTAATTCCATTTTTACACAAACTTTTTGAAGTCCCCGCCTATATATGGTGTATATGTGGTATGCTGGTAAATGTTTAACACCTGGCTCTGGCAGAAGATGACTGCTGTCTCTGAGTATAGAGGTGGGAAGAGGTGCTAACACTGACTCTCATGAGCCAATAACAAGCCTATTCCAGTGCACAGCTATTTAATAATCCTGTGTGGCTTGTGTGCCAGGTACCATGCTGAGTGCCTTATTAAGTGTATTCGTTCATTTAAACCTCACATCAACCCTACTGGTGTAGATGTACTATTGTCATCCCCGTCTTGCTGATGCAAAAACTGAGGCAAAAAGAATTTACGCACCTAGCCCAAGGTCACACAGCTTGTTAGTGACAGAGTTAGGATGAGAACCCAAGCAGCCTGGCTTTGGAGTTCATACTCTGAACCTCAACATTATTTATCTCTCAGTGAAACCTGATATTACTAATTTATTTTTTATTTAAGGAAAAAGTTACACAGGGAGCAAACCATTAGTACATAGCTAAACTTGATGAAAATCCCTTGCGCTATGCCATATACGTGTCCAGCTGTAGGTGGGGGTGTTTAAAAAAAAAAGGTTTCTTCTTGGCTGGGTGTGGTGGCTCACACCTGTAATCCCAGCTTGGGCAACATGGCAAAACACCATCTCTACAAAAAATGCAAATATTAGCTGAGTGTAGTGGTGGGTGCTTGTAGTCCCAGCTACTCAGGAGGTTAGGGAGGAAGGATCACTTGAGCCCAGGAGGTTGAGGCTGTAGTGGGCCATGATTGCACCATTGCACTCCAGCCCAGGTGAAAGAATGAGATCTTGTCTTATAAAATAAAATAAAATAATAAAATTGAATTGGTCTCTCCTTTAAGAGTACAGAATTTATCCTGAGAAGACACAGCTTCCTCCTGGTGCTCTCTTTGTCCCACACATGCAGCCCTTTTTTCCCCAGTCTGTGTGAAGCACACATCATGCATCTCATGCGGGAGCGTCTCTGATGGCCTTGGAAAGTATAATTAAGTTTTACCTTCTGGCTGCTTTTCTCCCAGGAATCAGCCACCGTGGAATTCTGATGAACCAAACTCTGTTCTATATTATATTCATTCATTCTATTTAAACCATTTTGAAAACTCCCCTCCCATCCTGGCCCACCCACCTCCAATACCCGCATACTCTAGTCCCACTTTCCTATTTTTGAATTATCCCTCAAGGCCTAGCCCATTGCTCCTTCTTCATGGGAGCATTTCTAATGGCATCAAATAATTTAGATAAATGCTTTTTGAAAATGAAAATGTCTTTAATTTGAACACTTTTTCGCTCTGTTCTCATTCTGAGCAGAAGGAATGGCCTTTTCACTCACTGTGAACAAATAGGACCCTGCTGTTTATCTTGCAGGAGAACATTGTTTTTTTTCATGCTCATCTCTCCCAATGGTAGGTCTGTCTGAAGGCTTCATCTAGTTTGAGATGGATATTCTTGAGGAGGAAAGGGTTGTGAAGCACAGTGCCCATCTCCCTCTAATGGTGGACCTTGCCTGTGATCATGAGCAAATGGTGCAGCTGTTGAATTTCTGGAAGAGTCCAAAGCTTTCTCAGTGATTGATCCGTGATGAATCCTTGCAGTGGAGAAAGGGTGAGGAATTTTCATCACAATGTAGAAATGGCCATGAGTGGAGTGGGAGGTTATTTCATCTTTTTCTATGGCCTCCCCCACCAAGATATTAAAATAACATTCCTTAGCATTGTTTCCTGGAATTTATAGGTGTTTAAAGGAGATCCATGGTCAAATCAGTCTGGAAATTGCTCACTGAAACATATTTTAGACAGTTTTCATTTGTATCTTCCCTTCAGGGCTTCTCAGAGCTTTCACCATGCTAATGTGTGATTGAATATCTGTAAGGTTTTATAATAAGCAGCATTTTCCAAACTCACATGCCTCAGAATTTTTTCTACTCAAAGCATTCTGTTTGACTTGTGTTCAGCTGAATAGCCTTTGGGGAATTCTATATAGAAAGATTGTTGGGCATCTGGGGATGACCATAATAAAATCTATCCTGAGCAGGAGTCTTGTCATCATTCTCTTAAGAAAGTATATTTCCAAATCACTATTTATAGTATCTCTGATGATCTTTTAATGCTCTTTGTACAATGCCTTGGTTACTAGGATTAGTACATTATGAATGCACATACACAGATGTGGCAAGTTTTAAAGAGGTAGGAAGTTTGCTGAGACTGATAGGGAGTTGATGGTGAACCCCTGCTATGGATTGATCATCAGGAGTCAGTGTATCTGTGATTAGTACTGAAAGCTTCCTGACTCAGCAGGTAGACTTCTGGGGCTAGAATTCTGGGTGGAGTTAGTTACTTTTTGAGTCACCATATGGAAAGCATTTGATTTTTTTTTTCCTTAATGGTTTAAAAAAGATGTTGCCTAGAAACAAGGATATAGGCTAAACAATTTCACAGTATAAACCCTGTGTAACTGTAATATTCTATGGCATACTAATCAAATTTATCAAAAGTAGGAAGAATAGTTTTTTAAAGATTTTTGCTGGTTTTGTTGATGTATCACAGTGGTTCATAAACATGGGTCTGTGGATGAGGAGCTTTTAAAACATTCAGATTTCTGGGCTCTACTGTTGAAATACAGGAATTTGAGGAACAGCCCAGGAAATGTTCTAAGAGTGATGAAATGCTGTCAGTTCGTGTGTGTGTGTGTGTGTGTGTGTGTGTGTAGTTATGAGTTATGTCCTATAAAGTTACTATGAACACTTAGTTAGCAAATACTGATCTCCTAAGGGAAATACAGGATTGGGTTCCTACGAACTTCTGGTCACATTTTCATTAACTGATCAATACAGAATTGTATTTTGCTTGTGTTTCTGTTTAATGACACTTCAATGTTCATGTCTTTCAAATCACATATGCAGGATTTCCTTATATTAAGATGTCACTGAGAATGTCCTGATCCTTTACAGCAGTGCTGTTCACTATGTATTTTCAAATTTTTCATCTCACAAATCCACAAATTTAGCCTGTTTTCCATCTTTTTCATAGCCTCCTCATTCACGGTAGATGTTACTTAAGCAATCTGAGGCTTGGCCTCAGATCAGCCAATTTCCTCTTGCTTTTTCTGGACATACATTATTGTAGATTCATTAACACCAAACTCATAGCCAAAAGGCTCATGCCTGAATAAAGCATATGCAGCATACCATTTTCTCTGTATGGCTGCTAAGTTTTAAAGAGGTAGGAAGTTTGCTGACAGAGACTGGGAGTCAAAGGTGAAACCTTGCTCTAGATTGATAGCATGAGTCAATGTATCTATGATTAGTACTCTAAGTTTTTTCTGCCTCAGCAGGTAGACTTCTGGCTAGAATTTTGGGTGGAGTTGCTTTTTCAATGACCAATGGAAGGTGCTTGAATTTTTTTTTTTTAATGGTTTAGGGAAGTTGTTGCTTGGAGGCAAAAATATAGAATGTATACAGCCTTCTTGCACTTAGAAACACTATACAGACTGTAGCACTCCAACTGGAGATAATTTTAAACAGGGAAATTACCAAGAAAAAGCACAAAAATGTAAAAGAATGGCACTATGGACTGTAAAAAGCACATTTGTTCACAGTATGAGAGCTGAAACATGAGAACTGGACATGGTCTTGTTTGATCTCCACTGGAAACATACTCATTGGTCAACTACAATTTTTCACTTTCTGCATATGCCCATAAATGACCAGGAAAGTGCCATGAGTATTGATTTTGAGGTTTCAAATAAAATTCAGTGAGTAGGCAAATTTGAAAATATGGAATATATTACTAGTGAGGATGGACTGTTTTTCTCTACAGAAACCGGAATGAGAAACCATTGGTGTGGTAGAGTTCAAATTCCCCTCCGCCCGTTGCAACTTAGTAGTGATGTGACCTTAGATAAGTTATTTAATTTATCTTGACCTGAGTTTTTTCATCTGTAAAATGTGGCAATATCAGAAGCTACCTCATAGGGTTGTTAGGAGCAGTAAATGAGATTATGATCTGCAAACATTAGCTTATACATATACATGTTCTCTGAATGAGCACTATTAGCCTTTGTTGTTACTGGTGGTAGTAATGACGCTATTAGACTCAGAGGCAGTAAACCTAAATATAGTGTCTATCTGGCCCATGTTATACAACTGGCTTATTTTTTCTGGACCTCTTGTTTATTTTTTCATGCAGTATATACTGTAATAATTTCTTGGTGAAGCTGTTATGCATATTCCATGAAATATCATAGGTGACAGTTCAGCTCTGAAGCCTATTGCAATAGTAGTTGGGAACTGTCGCAGTGGCGTGGAGCAGTGTGAATGTAGCTTACCATTTTCTAATGATCATAAATATCACCCAGTTGAGATATGTTTTCTAATGGACATTATTTCTTCATGAGGATTTCACATTTTTGGGTTAAAACCCTATCCATCAACGTGACTTGACATGTTATGGTTGTTATTAACTGTAACTATCATTCCTTTGCTGTAGGTCAGTGGTTCACAATGGGGTTGTTTTGATCCATAGGGGATGTTTGGCAATGTCTGGAGACCTGTTTGGTCATCACAACTTGGGGAGGTATTGCTACCAACCATAGTGGGTTTAGGTCAAAGATACTGCTAAACATCCTACAGTGCACAAAGAATCTTGACAGGAAAGAACAATGCAGCCCCAAATGTCAGCAGTGTCAAGGCTGAAAAGTTCCCAACTAACTGAAAGCTCCCCACGGGCTGGCACTGTGGCTTGTTCACTGTCCTGAACCCTGGCACAGGAATGGATACCCAGAGGGCCCTCAATAGATACATCTTGAATGAAGTAATCTGTAAAGATACAAAGTCCTTTAGTTTGGCGTTTCTATAGTTGGCTTCATGACCTCTGAATTTTAGGATCCCATATTTGACTCCTCTCCTCCGTTCTGATGTTACTATTTTTAAGATGTTAATTGTGGTCCTTTCTGCCCGTGGACGCCGCCGAAGCAGCATCGTTAAAGTCTCTCTTCTCCCCGCGATCATGTCTAAGTCAGAGTCTCCTAAAGAGCCGGAACAGCTGAGGAAGCTCTTCATTGGAGGGTTGAGCTTTGAAACAACCGATGAGAGCCTCAGGAGCCATTTTGAGCAATGGGGAACGCTCACAGACTGTGTGGTCATGAGAGATCCAAACACCAAGCGCTCCAGGGGCTTTGGGTTCGTCACGTATGCAACTGTGGAGGAGGTGGATGCAGCCATGAATGCAAGGCCACACAAAGTGGATGGAAGAGTTGTGGAACCAAAGAGAGCTGTCTCAAGAGAAGATTCTCAAAGACCAGGTGCCCACTTAACTGTGAAAAAAATATTCGTTGGTGGCATTAAAGAAGACACTGAAGAACATCACCTAAGAGATTATTTTGAACAGTATGGAAAAATTGAAGTGATTGAAATCATGACGGACAGAGGCAGTGGCAAGAAAAGGGGCTTTGCCTTTGTAACCTTTGACGACCATGACTCCGTGGATAAGATTGTCATTCAGAAATACCATACTGTGAATGGCCACAACTGTGAAGTTAGGAAAGCCCTGTCAAAGCAAGAGATGGCTAGTGCTTCATCCAGCCAAAGAGGTCGAAGTGGTTCTGGAAACTTTGGTGGTGGTCGTGGAGGAGGTTTCGGTGGGAATGACAACTTTGGTCGTGGAGGAAATTTCAGCGGTCGTGGTGGCTTTGGTGGCAGCCGTGGTGGTGGTGGTTATGGTGGCAGTGGGGATGGCTATAATGGATTTGGCAATGATGGAGGCAATTTTGGAGGTGGTGGAAGCTACAATGATTTTGGCAGTTACAACAATCAGTCTTCAAATTTTGGACCCATGAAGGGAGGAAACTTTGGAGGCAGAAGCTCTGGCCCCTATGGTGGTGGCGGCCAATACTTTGCCAAACCACGAAACCAAGGTGGCTATGGCGGTTCCAGTAGCAGCAGTAGCTATGGCAGTGGCAGAAGATTTTAATTAGTCTGATCGTGACGCTGAATAAATGTCTTTTTTTAAAAAAAAAAAAAAAAAAAAAAAAAAGATGTTAATTGTGCTATATCTTAAACATAAGGAAAAGTAGTATAAGTAGTGTTCAAAGTGTGGTCTGTGAACTGGTGCCATGGTCAAACCATTATCAGTCCACAGGTAGGCAAGAACAGAAAATGAGAATAAGAGTTTAGACATTTTCATAGCACTTGACCAATACTGTGATGTTTCTGCTAAATATACATAAGTATCCATTTGCAGCAATATGGAAATTAAAAACCCTGGTAGCCGCAGAAGTACAGACAATCAACATTTGCATTTCCACTTCCCAGATTTCACATATGTTGAGATTTTACTATGTTAAATTTATGTTTGTGTATCCTTTTCAATCTCACTTTGTCACCCTTTAGTCCCCTTTTCAAGAAATAAAACATCATGGACATATGTACTGAGCTTCCAGTATATGCTAGGCACAGGTAGGTGCACCTCCTTTGAAACAGGGTCTTCTCATCTGCCTCTGCTCCACCATCCATCCCCTGTCTCACAACTGAAGGTAGAACTTCAGGAAGTGGACAGAACCGTTGGTTAGGAAAACAACGAACAAAAACCTGCCTACCAGTAGAATCGTGGTTACCAGGGACAGGGAGTAGGAGAATAATGGAGAGATGTAGGTCGCAATGTGTAAAGTTGTAGTTATGCACGGTAAATATGTCTAGAAATCTAATGTACAGCATGAGGACTATAGTTAATAATATCTTATACCAGAAATTTGCTAAGAGGAGATTTTAGGTACTGTTGACACAAAAAAAGAGAAAGGTAACTGTGGGATGATGGCTATGTTAATTTGCTTGACTGTAATAATTAGTACAACTGATATGTACATTATTAGTACATATCAGAACATCCACACTGCACACCTTAAATTGACATGATAAAAAAGAGAAACATCATTAGGACATACAGTCAAACAAACAAATCTACCATACTGATCTCTCAAACTGCCATTTAGACCAGTGGTTGGTAGACCATACCTGTTCCAATGAAGTTTTACTGGAACACAGCCATGGCCATTTGGCTGTGTATTGTCCATAGCTGTTTTGACACAAAGTGGCAGAATCAAGTGGTTGCTACAGAGACGTATGGTCTGCAAAGCCTAAAATAATTACTGTATGACATTTTATAGAAAAAGTATGCTGATCCCTAATTTAGACGAGTACATTTTCATTTAAACCCAGGCCAGGCTGCTCATTTGAATGTCATATGTAAACAATTTGGTTTCTCCATGGACTGAGTAGGTCTTACTTGTTAATTGAGGGAGAGAAGGCACAGAGGGTACCCAGTCTTCTGATTATTTTAATTTTTTTCACCTTTCATTCACTTTGTGGTTTGTTTCACTTTAGCCTCCATCCTGAGCCTGTTAGAATTCTTGGTAATTCCTCTGTTTTTTTTTTTTTCTTGGCAGCAATAATAAAGAGATGATTTTAAGAATACTAAAAACAGGTAACCCTTACTAGTGCCAGGTGTCATGCTGTGAACTTTATGTGCTTCTCATCATAGTAAGTTTATAATCCACCGTTTTCAAATGAGGAAACTGAGGCTTAGAAATGAGAAGTGGCTTGCTCAAGGTATCTGGCTTGGAAGAAGTAAAGCCAGGATTTACATGGCCAAATGGCCATGGCTGTGTTCCAGTAAAACTTCATTGGAACAGGTATGGTCTACCAACCACTGATCTAAATGGCAGTTTGAGAGATCAGTATGGTAGATTTGTTTGTTTGACTGTATGTCCTAATGGTGTTTCTCTTTTTTATCATGTCAAAGTCAGATGCAAACATCTTGACTAAAGTCTGAGACTTTAACCATTATGCAGCAGGGCTTGAGGGTTATTCATATGTTGCTGTGGTTTATTTGGACCCTATATTTCAGAATGTTAATTTTCAGTCTCTTTTTTCCCTCTGAAAACCAAGATACCATTTTAAATGGCTTCTTTCCTGCGCTTTTGTGCTTGTTTAATTATGAGAATGACTTGTGTGTTTAATAAGATGACACTTCCAAAACAACATACAGAATTCATTTTGTTGACAGGAAATCATTCATTCTGTAATTTACATATGATAATGGGGGTATTGCTTGACATTTGCTTTTCGCCCCACTCATTTTGATTCTAGACTGGGGATCCAAAAAGGCTAATTCTACCCCCAGGGGATATATACTCACAATTAATCTAGTTGTATACCAGCCTGTGAGCAAATATGTGTAAGAATATACAGTGGGGCTTTTCCATTTGTTTTTTTATTTTTTAGAGCTCTAAATTGATGTCAGAAAAGATGATCCTGTGTCCTGATGGGTACCTAATTTACTTCAGAAAATTAGTATTCATCTTGGAATCCTGAGGTGTAGTTTAGTGTTTTGTTTGATGTGCCTGTGAGGTGTCAGTTCGATGAGTGTATTTTTGCTTGAACTTGATGCATTTTTCCCTATCAATCTTGTTCCCAGAATTAAGATTCTAGTAATAATTGGTCCTTTGGCATTATGGATATGGGTTCAAAATATCATAATAGCTTATTATGGAAGATGAGACATGGTGGCCTCCCATGGAGATGATGTTCCCTGTTCATCTCATTTCATTACAGCAGAATTTGTTTAATCTGAAAGTGAAAAGAATCATTAGAAGACAGATGTCAGAAAACTTTCTGATATTACAGCTTTCTGTGAGTTTAACCATGGTTTGAAGTAATCATATGTTAAGAACAAAAATTGGGCCTATTTTTCTCTAATGAGATCTGGAAACTTTTCCGGAAGACAATAATACTCTTTGTTTCCAGTGAATGCATTGATTTCAGAGTTGTCAGAGGACCATCACCTTGTGTAACTAGACCTTCCCATAAAAGGTTAATAAATGTCCATGTTTGTTTATCTCAAACTTGTCTGAGTTTCCTAGGATGTATTGTCCGTGCCCCTAGAAAAGGTTAAGTTTCACAGAACATCTTGTACTTGACCATTGTAGCACTCACCACGGTTGTATAATTATGCATTTAATGTCTCTCTCTCCTTTTTGACTATATACTCAGATAACGTGAAAGCCCATTTGCCATCTTTGCCTTTGTGGAGTTAGTGCCTTAGAGAATGCATGACATGAGACAGTCACTTAGGGAATATTTGTGGAATGAATGAATCAGTAAGTCAATGAATTTTTATCTCACCAAAGTGTTGGACTTTCTTAGAGACAGAAATTACGCATTCTGGTTTTTGTATTTGCCCCACAACATGTAACAATTGGCATTGCTGCATCATTTTGTAAATACCAGGTAGATTGAATAGTTGAGCAGCTTCCATGTGGGCAACTTGTAATTTGCGTCTTGTCAGTGTGGCTCTGGGTGGGTCATAAACTATGATCTTGATTTAGCACATGGAGAGAGAGATTGTAACCAAACTCTGGAAACCTTTGCCATCGCTCATTTGGAGATTGGGGGATGAGAAACATAGAACCCAGGGCAATATCACTGTGACACAGAGTGGTTTTGATGCCATTGGGCTGGGGAAGGTCCCCAAATGCTGGTGGGACTTCAATCCCAGCCAATGTCCAGGCTCTTGGCCCCATTGCAAGAAGGAATTCAAGGATGAGGCAGAAAATAGTGAAAGTAGGGAGATTTGTTGCAAAGTGAAAAATACATTTGAAAGGAGAGTACAGGTGTACTCAGGGGAAAGTCATGCAGTGGGGTTTGGGGGTTCCATCTTCATGGGTATCTTTAAATAAGTCATGGAACATTCATGAAAATTCCTGGAGAAAGGTGGAGATTTCTCTGAACTGTGTTGCCACCCATTTTTACACCAAATATAGGTGTTTCTGGAGCTGTCCTGGCACTGGTGAGTGTGTGGTTTAGTATGTTAATAAGCATAATGAGGTTCTAGTTGAAACCCAGGTCAAATGCAGCACCATGTTGGGTCCAGTCAGTCTTAGCCAGCTTGGTCCATAGCCTTTTTTCAGGGTCTTTTCAACTCATAGCTTTTGTAGCTATTTCAATAATTTCCTTTTGCTAGTTATGTGAAATCAGTGCCTGGAATTTTCTGTTCTCTTGTAACTGCCCTGTATTATTCCTGTCTCATTTTCATGTTCCTTTTCTTTTTCCTCCAGAAGCAGAAGTGGTAGTTCTGGGGTAACTGTACTTCATAACACAGTGGTTAAGAACATAGACATCGGAGTCAGACTCTGTACTTCCTATCTGGGTGACGTTGGTGAAGTTATTTAGTCTGACTAGTTTTCCCTTCTCTTCTATAAAATAGGAATAAAAATAGGACTTACCTGGCAGTTGTTGGCATTAAATATACAAAGGGAGCTGGCATGAAGCCCATAAAAAGGAAGTAACTACCATGAATCCACAAGGAAAGGAGGTGTGGATATGTTCTAGTTTGATTTCTAGTATTTATCGTGCATTACTTCGTGCTCATAGTGGGTATGTCAAAATACAGGGCAAGAAAACCCTCAGATTAAGTCAGGCACAATATTGAGCTTTGCACTTATTTCACTTGGTTTTGATATTGGACAGAAACTTCTTCTGAGATAGGAGGGCAAAAGGTGGCTTGCGAATGGTTGAACAAGTCAAAGCCGGATTAAGAGAGAGAGAGAGATAGGGAGAGAACTCGTGTTCTATAGGTATGGTCCAGGGACCAGCAGCATTAGCATCACCTGGGAGCTTGTTAGAAATGCCAGATATAAGGACTCATCTCAGTCCTACTCAATCAGAATCAGCATTTTAACCGAATCCCTAAGTAACTGAGATGCATATTAACATTTCTGAAGAGCTGGTCTAAAGAATTCATTTGTTCAATTTGTTACAATTTGGTTACTAGTAACTGGAATCTTAGTGCTTATACATTGTGTTGGAGAATAGAGCAAGTGGATTTTTTTAAACAGTCAAACAGGACTGTTAAAATATCAGCATTTTAACACATCATTAGGTTTTGAATAGCAAATGCAGGAAGTTTTGTTAACTGTACTGATATATTGATATT